TAGTGTTCGTATCCCCAGGACAGACAATAAAAATAGTAATAATTATAATAAAAAAACACTGGTACCGGGTCCATACTCGTCCAGAAACCATAAGAAAAAGGTCCAAGCTACAACTGAACTGTCGTCGCCCTTTCGTACTTGACACGACAAGGGCCATTTCGTGGCCTACAATACAATATATCGTTCCAATCAGGACTAGGCAAAGGGTTCGCGGCTTCTCCAGCCTCATTGACAACCGAATGTCGATATCCGAGGACAAACATGGCCGTAATAAGTTTGAGTTCGACCTTGGCAAGTCTTGTTCCTAAACAAGTCGTCTTTCCTGCAAATCTTTATCAGAATCAAAAAAAAAAAAACTTTGTTCAAAGGAAACCAACCTCCTCCCCAACCAACGTAACCGTAACTGGTATTCTTCACTTCTGGTCGTCCGGGGTCAAATTTCCATGGATCAGGATAATACTCTGGATTCAGATGAACATCGCTAAACGGGTATACGACGTATGCTCCCGTAGGGATCCTTTTCTTGTCAATATAGAATTCTGGCCCAACATTCCGTCGCATCGCCGTATGGGGCTGAGCAACCCGCGTCGTTTCCTTAATAATGGCATCCAAGACAGGCGTTTCCGATTCCCAAGCTTCGAGGGGTACACTCGCCAATTGAGCGGAAAGAAAAGGCGACGTTGCGTTCTTGGGATCGAATTGCAAATGGAAGCTGAGCAAAGACCGAACTTCCGCCGCCGCCTTGTCGCGCCATTCGGGGTGTCCACCAAGAAACGTTATTAGCCAAGACGCTAAGATGTGCTCCGTCAAACTCTATGCTTTGAATAGCTTTTTTGATATACTCGCACCTGTTGTGCCTGTCGCCCGGGCACCGGCGATTATGAGGCCCATGATAAACTAAAGTTCGCAACGTCAACATCCGACAGAAAGGAGAGCCAGAAACCCGGCGTACCCCAATGACCACAAGTTTTTCATCCCCTGAATCCAACAACATCTGAAGCGTATCGTTTCGGTAAACGCGGCTCTTTTCTCTATTATTTATAGCGTTGACAATTATCTCGTAAATTTCCTTCGTCGCAAGAAGCTTCTTGATCATAGACGGAAAGGGAAGCCATGGCAAGAGAACCGTTGTCGGCGTCGTCCCCGTGTCAAGTGTATCGTAAAGAGTTTTCAACCTCGCAACGAGCGCGGCGTCATCTGAGATTTCATGACTAGAAAGACACCGAATAGGTAGTCTGAAACACGAGCTAGTACAGGACGATCACATCGAACGATCAGCTATTTTCGTACAGGATAAGGATAGAATTACCTCGTAGATTTTTTCAAAAGGATCAAAGGTGCCTGCGGTACCCCAACCCTGCATTTTCATTCGAGTATCTTCGAGTATCATGGGTACGACTGTCCATCAGATGCGTTAATGACCTTAAATGGAAAAGACGTGGCCAACACGCACATTCACTCAATGGAGCGTGTCGCTGAATACCAGCCAAACGCTTGTGTATAAGTGCTATACGTTTTGTTTGAAGGTCGGAGGTAATTCCTTTAACCATCGGAATCTATAATATATATTCTTTGTTAAACAAAGATGCGGGCAAGATGAGAAGGACGGTCACGTACGGCTCCGGACAAAATTTTAAAGCCCTCGGTAAGGTCGAGACCCTTGGCTGTGAAATACCCATGCCTGCCACTTTCACCTGAAACGACAACGACGGTATTCTGTTTTACATAAAAGTCAAATCAAACATCCGAAAGCCTCTACCTGCGGAACACTCACGTTTAAAAGCTTGAATTGATAAATACTCTGCCCAGTAGCCTCAAAGCCCCAATTAAGAAAGTCATATCTTTTGCGGAAGAATGGCGTTATAGTAAATAGTGACCAGCACGGAAGGTACGCCGGATCATCAGGTTCGGCTTTTTCGAGAGAAATGAAGAAAACAATGACGAGGACAATAACCACGGCGGCAGTGAATTGAACAGAAAACCCAGCGGAGAGGAAGGCGGTAGCGGCAGCGTGAAGACCAACGGCGTAAGGCATTGCTGGAGGGAAACTAAAGGAGCGGAAGGTTTAGGACAGGAACGACTTGAAGGGGTCGTTTTAAATATTCCAAACCCGTTGAGTAGTTATCTATATACCCCGACTCCGCGAGGCAGGGTGCTGTTCGAAAGTGGTAACAGCTCATGGCGGGAAAATGGTGAAATAGAGAACGAGTCGAGCCACACCGCCTTACGCAAACGGAACGGTGTTCCCTTCCTGTCTGACCGGCGGACCGAACTGGGTGGAGGACGGTGGATCTGAGTCTGGGAATGCATCGTCTCGAGATTTGCAACAGCGGACGACCGGGACCGTGAACGAGATTTAGGTAACGGAGCAGCCAATGCAACGTGGTCCCTTTTTTGCTTCGACGTTTACGCCAGCAGATGGTCATGATCAACGCTCTGATCTAGATTCGCTCGCTCGCAGTACAACTGCATGTTCCACAACCCATGTCAAACTTTCATATTCCCCGAGAGCCCACGCCGCTGATGTTATTCGCTATTCGTCAGCTCCACCTCTTTAATCCGCTCGCGAAGCTCGTACCTCTGGATTCCTTTTTAGTAGTCAAAACACCCAATTTGCGCAAGTCCGCAGCATCTTTTGAAAGTCACCGATCCAAGGATTGAATTTAGTTAGGGCTGTACGACACGGCGAAAAGGACTTGGAGTGACAGTTACAAGTTTAGTTTGAACTTGTGTGTTTAACTCGGCATCTCAAATTGCCGAATACTCGGTTTGATTCGCCCTGATCCCAAAGTACTCTTTGTATCTATTAACGGACTTGTTGGAATCCATCCTGAAATAAGCTTCCGTATGTCGAAGCTACACTAGAGCTCGTGAAAGTAACATAATGGAGCGGAAATCGATGGTTACGCTGAATGGCCTAACACGCGCTGGTGCAATGTGGCTATGACAAAAATAACTTAACGGGACCCCGGAGCAGGCCGAACGAATCGGGCTTTGCAGTTGGTTCTGGTAGTGATACGCGCACTGGGTGTTTCGTGGTGGGCCATATTAAATTTAAATGCCCAACACGAACCGCTTGAACGCATATCTAAAAACGATTAAGTTAGGGGGCTAATCAGTAGTTCATGATTTTTAAGCTCATGTATGATCAACGATATATTCATGTTAAGTAATGGGTGCAACTCGTGTATGTCACAAAAACCACGCCTTGGAAAGAAAAATAATGCAAAGTCGGTAGCGAGCCATTTAAGTAGTTGGAGCAGCCTCATATCTTAGCGGGAAATTTCAAATGGTCCCTCGCGATCTAACCCGGGCACCCTCATTCCTGCGCACCGAAGCTCCGACAACGCATTAACTTTTTGAGTCGACTGACTCTAGCTCGGGAATTCCTGCGCATCAGAGGAGCAGAGAATTAGCGGAACGCGGGGCTGACAGCAATCCCGAAATAGCGAGGCAAATACCACTCATTTAGCGGCGACGTCAGGTGAGAGGCGGGGTCACTGACAAGGTAATTGGCAGCCCGAGTTACTTGTATCTCTAGCATAGGAAACATCCTGGACAGCCTACTGGTGCAAATCAAAAACACTGCGATAAGAATGTGCATACCTCATTGCAATTCGCGTAGGCTGTGCTGCTTCTTCGATCATTGGCACGGGATAAAACACTATGCCAATCCAGAAAATCCAATAACAGCTCAAAAACGAATACGGTGTAGGGCACAGGAATATCGGAGGGATGTTGAAGACGCGTGCGCTCGCTATTTTTGAAGATCACCGCCACGTAACGTATTGGGGTAGACCCGTCTTTTAGCGAACTTTTTAGTCATAAGATAAGCGTAGAATGTTGCCGTCTAGCGGACCCCACGGGTAAATAACGAAACTTGCCTGCAATGGTTAGAGAAAAACGGAGAAAGCCCTGACAATGCGCCATTGCCACTGGTGGTAGTCACAAAACCCTAGTCTATACAACTCCAAGTTGGGAAATGACGTACTCGTTTGGTCATTGCAAACGGACAGGGTAGATGCTCTGAAACACCCGTGAAGATAGGATTTCAGGGAAAATTCTGCATTATAGTTGGGTCGCCGTCGCCGATCAAGCACCTTTGGATATCAAACGAAAATATTGATTCTGGGTCAAAACTACTCAAAGAAAATGTCTTCTAACTGGAAACGACGTAGCTGGATTTAATGGGGGACGAATCAGGTGGTTGAACATGTGTCGCATACTTTTGACTCTAGACCCGATATTCAAGGGCGCTTGGTCACCAAGGCAGAAAAGCGACCGCACACCACTTTCTGTAACAGTGAATTGGTTGTCAAAAACCGCCCTTTTCCATGGCGGGCGCGTTGAGAGGGTAGTCAGCTCGTTATGTAAGTAATCGTAAATCTAAAATTATTCTCAATTTTGAGCGCTGCCGAATGAAGCAAGTCGCACGCCTGTCCAACACTCCCGACCCCTCGTTTTGGCGCGGCGGACTCAATATTCGGGGACATTCAATGCTCGTTCTATTACTGGTAACGACTTTGGCGTTTGGTATGCTTTGCATCCAGATTCCGCGTTAGGTTGTACAACGATGAGACCGCACGTTAAGTAAATATGACTTGCAACACTTTTGCCGCTGATTCGTTATGCAGGCACTTCTAGCTTCAAATTTGCGGTGACAGTCAAGGTGTACGTGCGTGCTTGACTCCGTACGAAATACTCATGGCCGACCAACCTTCTGCAACAGTCACAGATGGCCCGCAATACTTTAGCCGGTTGATACATTGCGCAGGTACTTGCACTGGCTGTCAACGTCAAGGTGTCACTAAGTTCGTGCTCCACCCCGTATGAAATGCTCATGGCTGACCGACCTTCACAACCACCACAGCAATGTCATATCTAGTCCTCGGCTGAAGAAGAAGAGAACCTAGAGATGTGAATGTGCTGTGGATCGTGTGGTCGGGTCCAACTCGGGTTAGCCTTCTCATGATACTTATCATGGCCAGACCACCAACGTTGCCCTCTTAGCTCAGTGGTAGAGCGCACCACTCGTAATGGTGAGGTCAGTCGTTCAATCCGGCTAGAGGGCATACATTTTTTCTACCCATTTTTGGTCGCAATACGCCCAGTTTTGTCTACTGTTTCAGCCAAGAGCAGCTACACTATTTGTACCATTCGGTCCCGTCTTGGTCTTTGCTATTCTCAGTGTCCTAACTAGAGAATTACGTGGGGCAGGTTCGCACAAGCCTGTGTTGAACCCGGAGTAACAAGTAGGCAGATTGCTGTGCACAGTGTCATTTGTTCGACCAGCAGCGTTGCTCATAATAACGATGGAATCCGCATTTTTGCCATAAAGCTGATGAAAAGCTCTAAGTCGCGTACACGTCTTCGGCGCGTTGCATTGGCGCTTCAATATGAGCGGACAACTCGAGGCAAGGCGACCGCGATTACTTTTCCGCTGGGTCGGCGCGGGGTTCGGTTCCCGGCAGCGCCCCTAGCCTTGCGGCACCCGCATGGCAGCCATCGCGCCACGATCAGTATTTGCGCCTCTCTGGAATCCTATACACGGAGGGATGAAAAGCAAACTGACTGGGGGCGAACTGGACCAAACGAGTTCCCTTAATTCATCTCGGGAGGGTTGCCGTGATCAATGAAAGATTGGGCAAGTCCGACAAACGAGGAGTTCGCCCAAAGTGGGGTTTCCATACACGCACATCACGTACTGAACAAAACGCGATTGACAGGCACGACGGCCGTCTATTGTTTATCAGAACCTAGAAGGGTGAGATTGAAGCTACACCTGTACTGCTCAAGCTTCAAGTCGTACTTTGGTACGGTTCCGAGAGCTCGGCGATGCGGGACCAATAATGAGGGGTCGGCAGTGCGCTGCGGCAATTGCACCTTTGAATGTACATGGTCATCCGGTGTGACGCCACGAGTTGAACATTCGACTATGAAACCCGTCATAGAGGATACTGCGCCCGTTTAGAACAAAAGCTGAATGAATACGCATCCGACCCCAAGAGTTCGGAAATGCTTCATTTTTCACGGACATACGCATAGGTGTGAAGGCATCGTCACAGTCTCGTTTTCGAGCGCCGAGGACAATTGAGTATATCTAGCCGCAAGTCCAGTGCGGTTGGGGACGTGCAGTCAGCATTTTGGAGAAATCCATCAATGAATTACAGGGCTTCTCGTAAGGAATGTAGAACTTGGGCTGTTGTACAAACTTCTGACGAATCAAGTGACGAGCAGGGGAGCGGTGCATTTTCAACCATCACTAGCCTTCACGAAGATCACAGATCGCAGCGGAGGGTAGAAAGGTTCCGCCTCCGAAAAAGGCGGGCTGCAAAAGTGACGATACCATGACGATACCACTAGTCAGACAAGCTCAGCCTCGCACGACCAGCGAAAGTCAAGGATTCCTAAAAAGCAATAATATTACAATGAACCACATAACGTACATACCAAATTTCACTCTATTTTGCTTCCCATTATTAAGCCTAGTGCATACACGTGGATTCTCCAAGCTTCCATAGTGACCGAAACGCAGGGACGCGACACGTGTTATGACACAAACACCTTGCGCAATGTAGAGAACTCGCACTTCGTACCCGTTTTGGGGCATGTAATAATTCCGTTATTCCTGGCTGCAATTTCCTCTAATGCCTAATAAGTGTCAATACAGGCGGAGACATTATACGAGGCGGATCTCACTTCTCTGGAATACACCTGCCCGTTGGGGAGCACCATCGGCATGTTGTCCTCGTCCATAATTTTCCCGGTAATTCGGCATACAATGGTTGAGTTGGCATGATGGCTTTGTGGAACTTCTTCAGCCAATTTGCCGAGTCCACGGTGCGCGGAAGAATCCTTGGCGTCGCTGTCACAGACCGGGCAATCGACGTTCTTGGTCGATGGATCGAAACATGTGGGCAGCCTTAGCGCCGCAAGACCTGCGTAGAGGGCAAGATGGAGCATTGATTCGGTGGGGAGTGTGTTGAGGCTGTATGCCGTGAGACGGAAAGATTGCACGAGGCTGTTCCACCGCGAGGGGTCGTATAATCGCTGTGCATTCGGCGTAATTAGCGCATGGATCGGAGGAGTAGATCACAAAACGTGCTCGGAGCGCAACGGCATACCTTGTACGGTGCACATGTCGTGCTGGGGTCGAAAGCGATCAGGGTGTTCGCGTGAAGGATGTCGCTCAAATGGGTTTCCTGCCATGGCACTAAATGCTTTCTTGCGTATGAAATAGCCTCCATGGCTTTGCGTGCTCTAGCCAATTCAATGTATTCTTGTAGTCTGAGTTCAAATTCGAGAGTGCTCTGAATTGTATTGGAGCGGGTAATAACGCAGGGTCAGGTTGGTAAACCTACCTTCATCTTGCGGAGCGATGCCTTGTTCTCGTTACACCATGCCAATGCTTCCGTGCAACTGTGACGTGAAAGGGCATCCTCTATTCTCCGTATGTCTGTGAAAAGGTCGATATCTACTAGGGTCTTGACAGGAATGCAAGTAAGATAGTAACCGGTTGAGGTCATCGAACTGGGGCGTACCTCAATGTGCTTTTCTTTTGCCAATTGTCTCGCCGTCAACTCTTTCCCATGTCTCAGTGACCAATCCACCAGCCACCGGTCTAGCCTCGTCTCTGCCCACCGGGAGAAATCAGCGCAGGTGGTGAGCTGGAACCCGTCCACCGCAGCTATGTGATTGAATCGTTCTCGCATGACTTCCAGCGTAGGCCTTCCGGCAGTTTCCTGAAGATCCACTAGCTAAGCAGCATTAAGTGGCGTTACATTCCACGACAACCGGGGAAAGCAGAGTGACGTGCCTTACGCTTGAGATTCTCCACTTTCTCAATCATGCTATCGACATATTTCAAGACTTCTTGTTGATCCACTGTCCCGCATTTCGCTAGGTCCTGAAACGGTGGTCTGGATCGTGCCGAAGTCTTTTTCTATGTATTTCTGAGATGTTCTAAAGATCTTGCGATAGTTCTCGTATGGGACCTATTGATGTGGCTCAATTCTTTGCTTCTGAGGGACCTAAAAGAGTATACCCGTGCAAAGGGCTGCTCAAGCAGAAACATGCCGTCAGAGTTGACTTTGTTGGCCATTCTAGGTGAATGTGGCTCGTATGGCCGTCGTGTGGCCAGCAAGCAGTGGCAGGTGACAAGGTTCTCATTACGTAACGTGATTGACTCCGCTCAATCTCATTGTTTCCCAATTCCTTTCTCTCCGCGAAGCGCCACCATCGCGTTTTGTTAAGCCTTTATGTCTGTCAAGCGTGATAGGCCTTCCAAGATGCCTCATGTGGTTTATGCTGTGGTATAAAAGATGCCAGCCGGAGGCTAACATACGTCAAAGCAACTCAGAAGATCATGGATTTACTCGCTAACCTCGTCTCCCAAAACCTTCTCATCACGGTGCACAGTAAAGTGGCAGTTTGATGACATGCAAGTCCTCTATTCTGGTCTTTTAGTTCATACTAGTACGCTGACAGCGTACACAGAATATACTTACGGGGCTCCTTAAAAATACATGTTCCTCTGAACCTCGTCGTCGCCTACGTTCAAGAGGATGTGGACGTCGTGAAAACATTTGCCACGCTCAAGAGCATATCGTTGCAGTACAAGATTGTCCAGGAATGCATAGAGGGCCAGAAAGTCCTCTATGATGGCACGAGCGCTGATAAGACAACTGCGGCGCAATCCACCTCGCTCCTTCTGCTAGGAGACTCCAAATTCACCGATCTCCTCTCGAATTCCCCGCTTCCCCCCAGTCCAGACGCACACCTCGATATGCAACGGTGTTTGCACCACGACTTTGACTTGATATGTCCAATTCCTTCAAAATCGCAGGAGAACCTGGAATATCCTGTCTTTGTCGAATTAACCCTCGTCGCTTTTTGTTCAAGGGAAGATTCTCCATATCCGGAGCGGGAATACCTCTACCTTGGTCCGCCGATGAAAATCCCTTTGCTCCCCATGCCCGCCAGCTACGAAAACATGATAATCGCGGCTGCAAAACCGCCATATCTACTACGCTCAGAACTGGAGTATTTGAAGAGGTATTTGGAGGAATTCAACGAGATTGAGCTTTTCCTTGAAGATGCGGACTTGGCCGATCTTCCGAAGCATTTACAAAGTGGAACTCGTTCTATGATTATTGATGACTTGAATCCATGACAGACTCTACGCATTATATGGCATACTATATTTTACTACTGTATTATACGTATCTAATGGGCTTTTTACGCAATTACATTACCTCACTCATGCTATTGAAGTTTTTGCTTGTAGTATTTAATGTCCCTGTGAATTGGAAAATGACGCCCCTGTCTGCCCTCATCTCCAACAGCCGCCCAATGTTTATCATCCGTTTTTTGTGCCTTTCAACCTAAGGAAGATCGTCAATCGGTGCAAGAGTAGATGGGGGCGAGGCGGAATACTCTCAACAGCGCGATAGAGGTTGCCTCAACTAGCGACTTTTGACAGGGTATCTAACGTTTTCTCAAACAAAACGCGTCGTACTGTCTTCACTTCCGCGTGAAAATGGCCACCAACGAGAGCTCTCCTGGCGAATTATAGACTGTCGCAATCAGTTGCTAATCACAAGATGGCGGACCGGTAGGAGAACGGACGGAATAGGGTAAAAAAACTCAACTACCCCCTGAACCAAGAATAGCAGGTTTAGACTTCAACGTTGGCAAACGCCGGGTCGCTTCGGCCATGCTATTAACAGCGAATCTAGAAATAACACCTGAATGTAGTGCGTTGGTCAAGCACGACATACTGTGAAGAATGAAGAACATATAGTGTAAGGTGCCGAGGGGCGAAGGGGTCGATATTGTTGCTTTTCTCCTAAAGCTGGCTAGACTACATTGGTCTCAGGTACGCGTCGTTTTCGCCAAACGCCTATGCTCAGTTGAATATTGAAACCAGGAGGGCCAACCTTCCTTTCAGGTGCATCCCGATCGTTGAGACGCCTATCTGTCAAACATGAAATTATCACTTCGCACAGGGACCGGTTCCTATATTCCAGGTATAAAGACGAGTGAAATAGTTAGAGAAACGGAGAACCCAGTA